GTGACAGATACTGAGCACTGGTAAACTGACAGATGTGGATCAGTGGTGCAGATGTGAATTGTACACTGGTACACCGTGACAGATGTGGATCACTGGTACAGCTATGGATGACCATTGGAACACCACAACAGATGTGGATCGCTGGTACAGATGTGGAATTTACAGTGGTACACAGTAACAGATGTGGATCACTGGTACACCTTGACAGATGTGGATCACTGGTATACCATGACAGATGTGAATCACTGGCACCATTGTGGAATTTTACACTGGAACACTGTGACAGATGTGGACACTCACTGGTACAGATGTGTGGAATTTTAAATCGGTACGTCGTGACAGATGTGGATCACTGGTACAGATGTGGATTTTGCAGTGGTACGTCGTGAAAGATGTGGATCACTGGTACAGATGTGGAATTTACACTGGTATGCCGTGACAGTCGTGGATCACTGGTACAGATGTGGATGACCACTGGTACTGTGACAGATGTGGATCGCAGATGTGGATCACTGGTACTGTGACAGATGTTGATCACTGGTACTGTGACAGATGTGAATCATAGATGTGGATAACTGGTACTGTGACAGATGTTGATCACTAATACTGTGGCAGATGGGGATCACAGATGTGGATCACTGGTACTGTGACAAATGTTGATCACTGGTACTGTGACAGATGTGGATCACTGGTACTGTGACAGATGTGGATCACTGGTACTGTGACAGATGTGGATCACTGGTACTGTGGCAGATGTAGATCACAAATGTAGATCACTGGTACTGTGACAGATGTTGATCACAGATGTGGATCACTGGTACTGTGGCCGATGTTGATCACTGGTACTGTGTGACAGATGTGGATCACTACTACTGTGACAGATGTTGATCACTGGTACTGTGACAGATGTGAATCATAGATGTGGATAACTGGTATTGTGACAGATGTTGATCACTGATACTGTGGCAGATGTGGATCACAGATGTGGATCACTGGTACTGTGACAAATGTTGATCACTGGTACTGTGACAGATGTGGATCACTGGTACTGTGGCAGATGTAGATCACAAATGTAGATCACTGGTACTGTGACAGATGTTGATCACAGATGTGGATCATTGGTACTGTGACAGATGTTGATCACTGGCATTGTGGCAGATGTGGATTATAAATGTGGATCACTGGTACTGTGACAGATGTTGATCACTGGTACTATGACAGATGTGAATCACTGGGACAGATGTGGATCACTGGTACTATGACAGATGTGAATCACTGGCACTGGACAGATGTGGATAACTGGTACTGTGACAGATGTGGATCACTGTACTGTGACAGATGTGGATCACTGGTATTGTGACAGAGGTGGATCACTAGTACTGTGTGCCAGATGTGGATCACTGGTACTGTGATAGTTGTGGATCACTAGTACTGTGACAGAGGTGGATCAGTGGTACTGTGTGACAGATGTGGATCACTGGTACTGTGACAGATGTTGATCACTGGTACTGTGACAGATGTGGATCACTGGTACTGTGACAGATGTGGATCACTGGTACTGTGACAGATGTGGATCACTGGTACTGTGACAGATGTGGATCACTGGTACTGTGACAGGGTGATGTGTTAAACTCACAGATCGGCTCTGCTTCTCCTCACTTGTGGGCTCTTGTGTGAGGAGAGGCAGAGCCGTTCCACTGAATAGCGGCTTTGTTAACATCACATGATGACTGTGATTGGGCACAGCCGTCATGTGTTCAGAAAGGCAAATCAGAGAGCCCTTCTGCCGAGCGGGATTGCGCTGTGACTAGGGGACACAGCCACAACCAGAGCGCGTGCGCCCATGTTCTGAGGGACGTACAGGAATGTTCACTCAGAACGGTGAAGCTCCCACCTGGCCACTTGCGCAGTGGCCAAGTGGGAAGCGGTTAAGGATGCATATTTCAGGAGTAGTGTTTAAAATGGCCGCACTGACACTGCCGGCCATAATGATGTCTAGTGGGCTTCCTCTCCTGACTTATTTCATCATGTGATCAGTGACTTAATCATAGGAAAAGTTGGTGCCACCATTAAGATATATATATATATATATTTACTCGCCCAATTGTTGTCAAATTCAAAGTGAGCCCATTTTGCCTACGCTCAAATCATGTGAGGTATCACTGCAAAAGTCAGAGCAATAACAAGAATTCTAACACCAGAACTCTTGTGTAACTCTACATTGATAACCTGCAAAGGTTTTTAAAGCGTCCAATATGGAGATTTTTAGGTCCCGTAGCTTCTCGCAGTTTCAAGAGCGTGTGCAATTTTAAAGCGTGACATGTTAGGAATCTATTTGCTTTGCATACCATCATCTTTTAGGGCCAGTTCACACTATAGAAACACAGTACAAATGCATTCTGGATGTTTCAGCATTTATGTTTTTGATGTATTTTTGTTTTGCGTTCTGGTGGGTTTTTGATGCGTTTTTGACGCGTTCCAGCGCGTTTTTGATTAGTTCCAGTTCATTTTTCCCCTCTCTTTTTCTTAAATTTAAACAGGGTCATGTGTGTTCCAGTGTGTTTTTGGTGCATATAGGTGCGTTCCAGTGTGTTTGTGATGTGTTTTACTGCGCTCCAGTACAGTTCTGTGCAGGAAAAATGTAGCATGTTCTATTTATTTTTCTGCAACTGGAACGCACTGGAACTGCAAGCTGTGAAGTGAACTATGACACTGACAACCATATAACCTACTTTCTGTGCATTTTAGATGCAGAAAAAAAGCAACTGAAACAAATGTAGTGTGAACTGGCTCTTAGTCTAGGATCACACCAACACATTTTCCATTGCGTTTTGCAGAAACGCACAGCAGTCCATTTAACATGATTTCCTATGGGACACGTTCACATCTCCACGTTTTCACCTGGTGCATTTTTTGGAATGGGTCAGGGAACCTTTAAATGCAAAACGTTACATTTTTGGTTCAATAAACTTCAATAGAGGTGCTGCAGAAATGCATGTAGTGTATTTTGTATGCATTTTTGATGCGTTTTGCCATTTAATCTGTCCAGCAACAAGTTGGGAAAAGCAAAAAAAAAGCAAAACGCATCAAAAACGCATGTGCAAAAATGCAAATGAACCGCAAAAAGCACTTCAGAAACGGATCAAACACAAACATAGGCGTGAACCTAGCCTTATATTGTACCAAAAAATGGGTATTATGTTGTGTTTGTGTGCACTGACATTCAATAAAGTGTATTTTTTCCTGAAAATTTGTTTGACAAACCGGTGCGCATAATATTGTATAGAATAAAAATTTGCAACAACAGCCACTTTATTCTCCAGGGCCTCTGGAGAATAAAGTGGCTGTTACAATAAAATTCAATGCAGGAGAAATCAGAGGGCCCTATACATTGTGATCCTAGGTTCACACTAGAATATGGTGTAGGAACTCCCCGGTTCATGCACTTTTTTGGCACAACATTCGAATAACACTGAATTTGAGATCTAAAGCAGGAGTCAGTGCAATCTTAATGACACCCCAAACGCAGGTCACAAACGCAGTGCAAAATGACCATGCAATCTGGTTGCAGTGCAGTTCCAAAACAGGTCCATGCACAACTTTGGGGCAATGTGGTACAATTTGAGACCCAGGGGCGTGCACCCGGCAGTCTCCATGATCGCTGTGTCTTACGAACACAGCTGATCACGTGATGAGGTAAAAGGCCAATCACAGTGACCTTTTAGCACGTGATCAGCTGTGTCCAATGACACCGCAGATCACGGAGCAAATACAGTTGCTGATTATCGCCAGCACTTTCCTCATGCTGTCACTGATAACCGGCAGCTGTCACAGAGCAGATTGGCACTGATCATCAGGGCACTGATGATCAGTGCACTGCAGTGCCGCCCAGCAATACCACCCACCAGTGCCCAGCAGTGCATCCCACCAGTGCCCAGAAGTGTCACCTATCAGTGCCCCCCAGCAGAGCCATCCATCAGTGCTGCCCAGCATTTGCACCCATCAGTGCCCATCAGTGCCTTCCATTAGCACGGCCCTTCACTGCCCAGGAGTGCCACCAGTCAGTGCCGTCAGTCAGTGCTGTCAGTGTCATCCATCAGTGCTGCCTATCAGTGCCCATCAGTGCCGCATATCAGTGCCCATCAGTGCCACATATCAGTGATCATCATTGCTGCATATCAGTGCCTCCTCATCAATGCCCACCAGTGCCGCCTCATCAGTGGCACCTCATCAGTGCAGCCTATCAGTGACCATCAGTGCTGCCTATCCATGCCACCTCATCATTGCCCATCAGTGTAGCATTATCAGTAAAGTATAAAAATTACCTGTTTGCTAAATTTTATAATAGAAACAAAGAAAAACATTTTTTCAAATGTTTTGCTCTTTTTTTGTTTATAGTGCAAAAAAAAAACCCTGTGGCGATTAAATGCCACCAAAAGAAAGTTCTATGTGTGTGAAAAAAAAATTATAAAAATGTCATATGGATACAGTGTTGCATGACCGCACAATTGTCATTCAAATGCGCCAGCTCTGAAAGCTGAAAATTTGCCTGCGCAGGAAGGGGGTATAAGTGCCCGGTCATCAAGTGGTTAATTAAACTTTGGCTTGTTTTGAAAGTTAAAAACCTGAAAAAGTTAATCAAATTCTCACGTTTTACTTTAGGAGGTGCTCTAGGATCTATTTTAGCCTCAGGAAGATGGTGTTAGACATACAGAGTTAAAAGCAGAGCCCTGGCCAGGATGATCAGAAGTTCTGAAGACAATAAATCTACTCACTGGTGGGGAAGAAAGAAGTTATGTGACTAACAGCAAGATCACAAATACTTGTCCTGTTTCTGGCAGTCAGTTCTAGAATCAAGACAATCTGTAAAATCAGGAATGACTATACAGCACTAGATCTGTGTTATCTGTACACACATGCAACCTCCCTAGTGGGGCCCCTTTGGCTCCAGGCCCTAAAGGAATTGTGAACAGCGCCAATCCCTTACAGCACTTCCTAGTTTCATGTCATGCACATTGTTATCAGAAAAGCTGGCAGAGTTCAAAGCTCATATACAATCAGGGAAAAGGACGCAGACTACTAGTTATCATCAGCATGGCACTTGGAATAGGGACAACTCTTCTACTGGCTACTGTAGTCACTCTCGTAATTTACCTGGTGTCATGGTGGAGAAGGATAAAGCACAGTAATCTCCCTCCAGGCCCCACACCTCTGCCTCTGCTGGGAAATATAATGCAAATGGGTATCACAGAAGTGCCCAAATCGTTTGTAAAGGTAATATTTCCTTGAATGTTCATTGTTACTGGGGAAAGGAGGAATGTTTAACGACAGTCTTTTTTTACTTGCTGCTCTTCCATTCTGGGCACAACATATCCTATCATGTCATACAGATAAGTGAGACCTATGGACCTGTGTACATCTGCTACCTGGCCAACCTTCCGGTGGTTGTACTGGTTGGATATGATGCGGTGAAGGAGGCATTGGTGGATCACAGCGATGTGTTCAGCAGTAGAGGAGAATTTGAGGTGCTCACTATGTTATTCAAAAATTATGGTAAGTAAAAGACAATGATAAACTTTTTTTTAAATATCTCATGGTGCATGCTTATGGATGGTACCGCAGTACTTATGCATTTTGTGTAGTCGTTGATTGTAGAAAGCTTATATACCTAATAGGCTGCTTGTTTGGAAATGCATATTGATTTTTGTTAATGTAGCACCCTCCTAGGTAGGTTCTAGGATTCATAGAGAGTTAGTGTATATACAGTAGTTCTGTTCCCCTGCTTAACAGGAGAACTGCTAGGGAAAGTTAGTTCTGTTTTTCAGAGAGCTGCAATTATTCATCGAGGTTTGCTCAGGTGTGTTTAGGTGCTGGGAGTGACTTTCTCTGTATCCAAGCAATCTAGGAAGGTTCTGGGCGAATAGGTAGAATTCATGCGGAACACAGTATGAATAATAACACCCCTTCAGCCAATCACAGGGAGGATGGCCCTGGTGAATTCTGGGAGAAGGTATTTATTCATTAGGCACACTGAGCTCTAGGTCTTTCCAGGAGTGGATTGTATCAAGCTAAGAGATGCATGCTGCCTTCCCTGGCACCTGCTGCCACGTGGCTTCAGGTGGGTGAACTGAGGGCCTGAAGAGAGTGGGAGAGTGGCCCTGGTTCCATAGAGACCTAGCTGAGGGGATGTGGTCTGGTATCATGAAAAAGAGGCTGCAGGCTGTTCTTTTGGGTCATGTTAATACATACATGCTAAGGATTTCATAGACTGTTGCTGTTCACCCCCTGTAAGGGACCGCCTGGCGACACCACTAGCACTCCACTAATCAGGCGTCCCCAGCGCACGGAGTCTAAGTCCCAGAGTACTTGTTCACCAGAGCCCCTGATGGTGGGGATGGACTTGGAGTACCCCGGGACCAGGTCGTGCTTACTGAGGCCACCTGTCAGTGGTAGGGGTGGTCGCCAGGGGCTCCCACGGGAGAGAGCCTGATATGAGGAGGTCTGGGAACCCCGCTGAGAGGAATGGATGGATGGATGGATGGATGGATGGCGGAGCAAGTGCAGAGTCAGGCAAGCCGGGTCGGTAACGGGGTGGACAGCACGGTACAAGGCAGCGGGCAGAGAATAGTCGGGTCACACGCCAGGTCATCAACAGTAGGTCAGATCCAATAGGGGACATACGGAAGAGAGGTCAGGCAAAGCAAGGGTCTGGGCAGGAGAATTCAGCAGTGGTCAGGTACAATCCGGGTCAGCAACTTACAGGTTCAGTTCAGATACAGGATACAGGATACAGGATACAGGGCAAGGACAAGACCAGAAGGCACTGAATGACAGCTCAGGGCCGTTTAAATATCGCGCCCTGCGCTGCCATTGGTGCCCAGCGGGGCGGCCGCGGCTCCTACTGCGCATGCGCGAACTCACGCGCCGCGGCCGGCCCGGACCTAGAGCCCGCGTCCCTGCACAGGGCGGCATACTGCGCCTGCACCGGGACCATCGCGGCGGGGATCGAGGGGATCCCTGACATTGCCCCCCCCCCTACGGGCAACCTCCGGATGCCCACCCGATCTCTCCACCACGGGTGGTCACGAAGAAAAAAAACCGGACAAGTCTGGGTGCATGGACATTATGGGCTGGTTCCCAAGAATTGTCCTCGGGGCCATAGCCCTTCCATTTTATAAGAAATTGGGTCTGGCCCCCCCTTCTTCGGCACTTCAGGATCGTTTCCACCTCATATTCTTCTTGTCCCTCCACCGTTATGGCCTCCGGAGGTCTGGATTCACGTTCTGGGAAGGCATCCGGGATCACAGGTTTAAGTAAGGACATGTGGAAAACAGGATGAATTCTGAATGTTTCAGGGAGGGTAAGTTCGTATGTTACCTATGTGTTACCTCGTTGATCATTCGCTTCACACAAAAAGGCCCCACGAATTTAGGTCCCAATTTCTTTGAGGGACAAAGCATTCTCAAGTTGGTTGTTGCCAACCATACCTTATCCCCAGGCTTCAGCACCAGATTCCCCTTTCGTTTCTTGTTATATGCATTCCTGTTATCCTCCTGGGCCCGAGCGATGGCTTCCTGTAGTACTTTGTTGTTCGAGGAGAAGAAGTTTAATGCGTCTTGCGTTGCCGGAACTGGGCATTCAGAGACCAAATCAGGAAGAAAGACAGGGTGAAATCCGTAGTTAGAGAAGAACGGAGATTGCCCTGTCGCTGAATGGCTTGCGTTGTTATATGCAAATTCCGCTAAAGGTAACAGTGGTAACCAATTATCTTGAAGGAAGGATGTGTAGCAACGCAAGTATTGTTCTAGGGTCTGGTTGGTCCTCTCAGTCTGTCCGTTGGTCTGAGGGTGGAAAGCAGAGGAGAGGGACAACTTGATATCCAGGGCCTTGCACAGGGCCCTCCAAAATCTAGATGTAAATTGGACCCCACGATCCGAAACAATGTCCTCCGGGATTCCATGTAACCTTACGATTTCCTGGATGAATATTCGCGCAGTCTCGGACGCAGACGGAGTCTTCCTCAATGGTACAAAGTGAGCCATTTTCGATAATCGATCGATGACCACGAAGATCGTGGTGTGTTCTTGGGACGGTGGGAGCTCGACTATAAAGTCCATTGCGATCCCTTGCCACGGTCGTTCAGGAATCGGCAAGGGACGCAGCAGTCCCCAAGCCTTGTTCCTCGATGGCTTGTTTTTCTGGCAGATGGTACAGGATCTTACATAGAGTTTACAATCCTTGGCCATACTTGGCCACCAAAAAGAGCGTTGGAGAAGCTCCAGGGTCTTGGCTGGGCCAAAGTGTCCCGCCATCGGGTGGTGGTCATGGCAATGTCCCAGGACAAGGGTCCGGACCTCTTCAGGGACCATGACCAACCCATCCTTCCATAGGAGTCCCCCCTTGTTCTGGAGGGACACACCAACTGGGACTGACGCGGCCGTGGATGCCTCCAATAGCTTGGACCGAAGGTCCGTCTGGAGCGCCAAGAAATTTCCTGCAGATAGAATCGTATCAGGTACCGGATCTTCTTTGGAGTCTTCAAACATGCGAGATAGTGCATCAGGTTTCGTATTTTTAGATCCGGGCCTATACGTGATGTGAAAAATGAACCTGGAGAAGAACAATGCCCATCTTGCCTGCCGTGGGCGTAAGCGTTTGGCGGTAAGCGTTTGGCGGTCTTCAGGTACTTACTCGAGAGTTTCTTGTGATCTGTGAAGATCAAGATGGGGTGCGAGGCACCTTCTAGCAGGTACCTCCATTCTTCGAGAGCTGTTTGATGCTTCGATGTGGCACCTTTTGACAACAACTCTCGATCGCCGATATCGTAGTTCTTTTCTGCTGGGGTAAGTTTCCTTGAGAAGAACGCTACCGGATGGGAGCAATTCTTTGGTGCCCTTTCGCTGGGACAGGATGGACCCCCACCGCATTCTCTGAAGCGTCTCTACTTCCAAGATGTATGGCAGGGCAGCGTCCGGGTGGCCCAGAATGGGTGCCAAGGTAAAGAGCTTCTTCAAGGCCTCAAAGGCTTCCTGAGCCTCCGGCGTCCATCTGAACCCGGGTTCCAAGCTTGGTCAACTGAGTTATGGGGGAGACCAGACCCGAGAAGTTCTTAATGAACTTCCGGTAGAAATTCGCAAAACCGATAAACCGCTGGACGCCTTTTTTGTCCGCGGGTACCGGCCACTCCAAAATCGCCGAGACTTTCTGAGGGTCCATTGCGACTCCCGTGGTGGAGATAATCAACCCCAGGAACGTAATGCTAGGTTGCTCAAAGCAACACTTATCTGCCTTGGCGTATAACCCATGCTGACGTAACCGCCCCAACACCCTTGCCACATGTATCCTGTGATCCTTCAGGGAGGATGAGAAAATCAGTATATCGTCCAGGTAAACGATAACGAAAATGTCCAGGTAATCCCTAAAAATATCGTTTACGAAATGCTGAAATGTGGCTGGTGCATTGCACAGACCAAATGGCATGACCAGGTATTCAAAGTGCCCAAACCGTGTACAGAACGCAGTTTTCCACTCGTCCCCCTCCCTTATGCGAACTAGGTTGTACGCCCCCCTTAGATCAAGTTTAGTAAATATGACCGCAGTCTTCAGGCTCTGAAATAACTCTGGCACTAACGGTAATGGGTAACGATTTTTAATCGTGACCCTGTTCAGCTCCCGGTAGTCTATACATGGCCTCAGAGATTTGTCTTTTTTTTCCACGAAGAAGATCCTGCCCCTGCTGGTGAAGTGGAGGGACGGATGAACCCCTTCTGGAGACTGTCCTCTATGTATTCCTTCAGGGCCCCCAATTCAAGTTCCGATAGGGGAAAAAATTCGCCCCAAAAGGAATCTCAGAGCCGGGTAACAGGTCAATGGGACAGTCATACGGGCGGTGGGGGGGCAGGGCATCTGCTCCCCGTTTACTGAACACGTCCAGGAATTCATGATATTCTGTGGGAATAACCTGTTTCAGATCAGAATCCCCCTCGGAGCATAGGAGGACCTGGGGGCCTGCTGGGCCTGAAGTGCGACAGTGTTCCTGACAGTATGGGGAAGGGAACAAGATTGACCCGGTTTCCCAGTCAATTTGGGGGTTATGGGCCCGTAATCAAGGGAGCCCCAAAATGACTGGGGAACAGAGGTGACGCAATGGCATCCAGACGGAGGAATTCCTGGTGTTGGTTGGCAATGGTAGTGGCAATGGGGGGAGTTTCCTGATTAACCACTCCTGATTTTATCTGGGAACCATCGGCCAAAAATATGTTAAAACCCCTCTTTCTGGGTTGGAGGGGAATTTTTCTGCTGACGAGCAAAGTCTAAATCCAGAAAACAACTGCATGCCCCCGAATCAATTATGGCTGTCACTTCCACGGTCCTTTCGGGAAGCTGAAAGGAGAAGGGGTACAACTAAGTATTGGGAAGGACTGACATTGCCAATAGACAAGGAAGAAAAAGAGGTACACTTACTCATTTTCTGAGGGCAGGATCGTACCATATGACCGGCTTCCCCGCAGTAGAGGCAGAGGTTCTGCGAGCGTCTCCGCTGGTGTTCTTCT